ACACACACTCACACACACACACACACACATACACACACACACACACGTACACACACACACATAAACACACACATACAAGTTACGAGCGCGTTAAGCCTCTACTAAAACTTTAAAAAACTAAACACACAAACAAACACATACTCACACACACACACACACACACACACACACACACACACACACACACACACACGCACGCACACACACACACACACACACACACACACACACACACACACACACTCAAGATTACTTTGGCGAAACCTACAACGGGCCGTGTTTTCAACAAGATATAACTCCACTCGCGCTATGTACATGTAGATCTAGATCTTTCTGTATTCATTTTTGACAACTCAATCCCATAGCTCAGAATAGTCGCGAGTATTAATATACTAGGTTCCGTTTTAAACCCACTTAGCTCGATTCTAATTCTGTTGAAGCTGGGGTCTTTTGAGTTCAGAGGTCACATCACTCAAACGAACCCACATTGTATAGGGTTAAATCTTTACCATACCACGAAATGGCACGAAATAGTACACCCCTATCTATTGATAATCTTACAATACATGAACATAAATCATATTATCATTCCGAAGACGAGCTGCTTCAGTGTATTAGAACCATGAACTCGAGCTGTATGGTCCATTGCACCAGAAAGACATAGCCTCCATTTGTTTGGCTGTCCCCGTGGTTTTATGCACCCCGCATAATTCAGCCAAATTTGATCATTTTTTGCACAATTTCGGATTATTCTCCTTTATCATTACTTGTTAAAATTAACAGAATTGCATAATTTCAGATTTTTTGGTTCATTTTGCATAATTTCAGATTTAAATTTTATTTTATTTTTTTTTTTTTTTTTTTTGGGGGGGGGGCATAAAACCACGGGGACAGGTTAGGTGGCATCGGCATCTGTTGAATATTTTTCACCCCAGCTTAAGTAGAATTAAGTAGATCTATACATAAATTTAGTCTTCTCGGACAAGGGGCGGGGGGTGGGGGGTGGTGTTGGAGCCTCCTGGCCCCGCCTCTCTCTCTCTTTCTCTCTCTCTCTCTCTCTCTCTCTCTCTCTCTCTCTCTCTCTCTCTCTCTCTCTCTCTCTCTCTCTCTCTCTATGTGTGTCTCTGTCTGTCTATCTATCTATCTATCTATCTATCTATCTATCTATCTATCTATCTATCTATCTATCTATCTATCTATCTATGCAAAATGCCTCTTTTTCATTAACTCACTGACGACGCTTGAAGACGCGCTGTTTGGGGGGCACCTTAAAGTAAAGTAGAAGCATTAAATTCCGTTTTATTCATACAAGTACACATTTTAACAATCTTTTTTACTTTATCCGAGCACAAACTATGCGAATTTGTGTATTTCGCATTACGATGGTTCAAAATGTGTCCCAGTACATTATCTTGGGTTTGCTCCTGTCGGACACTTTTATGTGTGTGGTTGTTTGCCGGGTGCTCTGCTGTGCTATGATGCTGATACTTTTTTTTATCAAACATCTGTAATAGTCCTTACATCTCCTCCTTTTTTTGTGTTTCTTGTAATACCTCTAATCCTCGGCACTGACTTACATGACCTCATTGTTCTGTACTGTGTGTGCGCCACATCTTTAAAAAGTTAATGACAGGGGTAAACTTTTCTTGACAGACGCCAACCTGTGTGAGGGTTGGGGGGGGGGGGTGTTTGGTTTTTGTTGTTGGTTTTTTTTTTTGGTGTTTATATTTGGGGGGGGGGGTATTCTTCGACCTACGAAAGCTCAATAGCTTCAGTGAAAGACAAACTGTGGGCGTCGAGAAATAGCAAGATGAAATCGATAAATAAGTGTCTCAACCTTCCTCGCTGTGAGTCACGCGTAGGATTTTTATTGTTAGGTTTGAGTCACGAGTCACACTCACATTAGGCTATTGTCGCTGCTCACGGCCTAGGGTGAACAAAAGAGCGCAGTTTTTCTTGATGACCATGCATGTGTGAGGTAAATTGTTAAGTTGGGTAGTACACTTAATGACAACTGTAGATTGCAACACGAGTGAAAAACTGCTGATCAAAACTATGATGTGTCCCATGGAGTTAAGTTACGACAGAGCTTATCTCGGTCTCCTACCCCCCCCCCCCTCCCCTGCCACTCGCCCCCTTCTGTCTGTCTCTGTTTCTGTCTTTGTTTGTCTGTCTGTCTGTCTGTCTGTCTGTCTGTCTGT